GGGGGGGGGGGGGGGGGGGGGGGGAAGCAGCCTGTCTGCAGGCTCACCAGAGACAATTTCAGGCACTTTTTAGGGCAGGCTCTCCCACACCTCTGACTGGCTGAGGTAGCCCACTATGGGTCTGATTACCACTGAACACCAGCACCCAGGCTATTCTTTCAGCTGTTTTGCTACTGCCTGTATGAAGAGTACTGAATGGGGACATTTTATTTGCTGTGTGGGAGATCTTCACACTGCTCTTGCTCATCTTTACAGCTTGCATCATGCAAAATGCTGAAATCCTAGAATCATAGAAATTTAGGGTTGGAAGAAACCTCAGGAGGTCATTTAGTTCAGCCGCATGCTCAAAGTAGGATCATCCCCAACTATATTATCCCAGTTAAGGCTTTGCTTAGCTGGTTGGATGTGGGGTGACTGGGGTGAGGCTGGAAGGGAGGGAGGGTTCCCCCCTGCCAGGTGCCTGCCCCCACAATCAGGTGTGGGGTAGGGGCTTCACCTGGCCTAGCAGAAGATCTCCTGAGCTGTGCTTTGCCACATGGGAGAGAAGGGGAATTTCTGCCTCCCTTTGTGCAGCAGGGCAGAGCAGAGCTCAGGTGACCCATGCCAGGTGCCTGTCCCCACAGTCAGGCATAGGGTGCAGGGTGCCTCCACCTCTGGAACGTCCCCCTGCCTGGCACTGGTCTCCCAAGCTCTGCTTTGCAGGGAAGGGGAGGGGGAAATTCCTCTCTGCTCCTGCGTGGCAACAAAGCAAAGCAAAGCAGGGTTCAGGAGAGCCATGCTGGGCAGGGGAAAGCCCCTGCAGCAGGGTTACCCTGTGCCCAGCTATGGGGGCAGGCACCCTGCATGCCTATGCTCGCAGCCCCTGGGGCAGGGGGTACTTACCTGCTCCACTCTGGTCGGGGTTTTTAAAACCCCCTGCCAAAGTGGGGGCTTGAACAGCCTGTATGGACTGCCCCTGGAAATACATGGGGCTTCCACCATGTTTCTGGAGCTCTGCTGCCTTTCTTTGCACTTCAGGTAAGATTTTTTTTTAAACCTTTTTCCCCACCCATCTCCCCTATGACTTTAGGCCATTTCTTGCCAAATTGCAGTTTTCCATGGCTTCAGAGGAAACGCTAAATTTCAGGCTTTCCTCTGAAATCCCCTGGTGCCTGAATTACAGTGGTCCCCATGTATATTATTCATGGGGTTTGCAAAATAGAAGGAATCCAAGATTTGTATGTCAGGACTGTAGAAACACTGTTTTTTGTAAAACGGGAATACTTTAAGTAATAGTAAAATAGTCACTTAAAATGTTATATTATTTATTCCAGTAGAAACATAAATCTAGTATACAGAGCTGGATTCTATATGGAGGGGATTTATCATCACCAGGGATCCTGGTTTCCTCTCTAAAAAAAATCCAAAATTCTCTCACAAAATAACTGCCAAATCCATATTTTTCCATGATTAAAATGAAACACCACTCATATATATATTAGTTGAACACAATGTTTTATTGATATATTTATAATTTTAAAGCTATTTGGAAACCTCGATCTTGATAATGAAATAAAATCTAAATACCTGTATATTTTGGTGCTTGATTTTGGTTTTTTTAACACTGAAAACCATAGTTCCTTCTGCCCTGTTCACTCACCGGGATGCAGGTCCACCTGCAGTTGTTCCTACCTGCTGCTTTGTGGCACTGAGCAGCCCTGATATGCTGGTGCTCTGCCCCTGCTCATGCTATTGCCATGGGGAAGTCAGGGGCAGGGGGGTGTATGTAGGGCAGAGGCTGGGTCTGTGGGGAAGTGGGGGTAATGATAGATGATGCAGCCAGGGGGCACAGAGGGCACATTCCCTCCCAGATGTCTGCGCCCACAGCGGTGCCTGGGGCTGCAGCCTGGTTGGCTCTCTTCTTTAAAGAAGAAAATCCACATTTTTCTGTGGGAAATGGAAAACCCAGCTCCCTAATCATCACTTAATTGGTGGCATAGAATTAAAGATATTTGGTTCGTGAAATACCCGTATTTAGCAGGGACTAGATAGCTAAGAGAGGAATGTACAGCCTTACCCTTCTAGGCCCCAGGTTTATGAACCTAGCAAAGAGAACATTGAAAGTTATAACGACTTGATAGTTCTTTAGCCTCTGTGACATATTTTAAAACTCTTAAATAAATTGCCATTAAGAAATGATTTATCAGAGAAACCAACGAATTAGAAACAGAAAATGCAATATAGTCTTTGGGGGAAGCACATGAAGTATTGTGAATCAGAGTTTACTAGGTAAAGACTTAAAAAATGAACATGACAAAAGAAGAATTGCTCTGTAAAACTATGAATGTTCAATGGACTTACATTGCATAAATATGTCTCTCATAGTAGGCTACCTAGCTCATATATTTATTATGAACTACTGTTGGTCTCAAAAACTTCATTTGGATCCAAGCAATTATTTTTTCTTCTTAAATCTAAAATGTGTGGATTTCACCTGAGCTAACTCTCTCATGACCCAGACACAAGTCATATATTTTTGTATATTAATTTTCCTGACAGTTAATTATAAAGCAGTTAAACAGTTAAGGTTGAATCTATCTTCCATCATAAATCTGTTTTTTAATTCTTTCTCCATCATTTTCCCTAAAAAAAGAAATGTGTCCTAAAAAAAGAAAACTAATAGGGTTGTGCAAGGCTTCAGTCACTGATTCAATTCAGCAGAGATTAGGCCCAATTTGGTGGCCGAATCTCCGAATCTGAATCAGGAAACCCTTTAATATCTCTAAATCAAATCGGAACCCTCTGAATCAATTCAGAGAGATTCAGAAAGATTCAGCTATTCAGGCACAGATACAGCTTTAAATGTTTTTTCTACGTACTTCAAGGTACCAGGCAGCTCGTTAATGCTGTGATGCTGGGGCGGATGAAGAGTCTCACAGGAGCGTCAGGGGGTCCCCAGCGAACTTGGCAACAGACCCAGAAGTGGACCAGAAACACTTCTGGTCCACTTCTGGGTCCACCGGTGCTGGCTTAAATCACCCTGCCTCATCAACTGGTGCCTCCTGGGCCTGGGGGACACCCAGGGTCCCTCCGCAGCCAATCACCAAGCCAGGGGGACATGGGAGGGCCCCCTGCATGCTCTCCAGTGGACCTGGAAGTGGACCAGAAGTACTTTCAGTCCACTTCTGGGTTTGCTGCCAAGCATGGAGGGCTTCTCCCCCACCACACCGTGCTCCTGTGGGACACTTCATCCACCCCAACATCGAAGCATTCAAGAGTCATGCCTAGGACCTCGAGGTATGTAGAAAAAGCATTTAAAGCTGTGGCCAAATCACTGAGTCTCCAAATCATCACTGAATCTTCAGATTTGGCTGAATTGAATCAGGGACAGTGATCTGAATCAACGAATCAAATTGCTGCTCCTGATTTGGACCAAATCTGAATCCAAATCAAATAGGGCATGTTTCGCACACCACTGCCAACTAAAGCTAAGAGAATTCTGTCCTATTCATCAGATCACTCTGTTCTCTGCTTTTGAGCCGACCTTTTTTTCTTTTTCTTTTTTTTTTTCTGTTTTTTTGCTTTAGGCAATATTTGAAAGTAAAACCTCACTTTTCTTCTAGTGATATACGTAATGAATTATTAACACGTGCTTTTTAAGACCCACCTGGCACTGCCATACCATCTGTGCCATACCAGCCTCTTCTGGACAGCTTCTGGAAGACATTTTGTTTAAGCAAGTCATGGGGAATTCTGCATCTGGAACAAGATGGGGGAAGAAACATAGCCTGACATTAACAGAATTAAAATTACAAGTATAAAATCTGCTTCTGTCTGTTTGTAGGAAATTTCATACTGTAGCAATCAAATAGATATAGGTGCTGGAATGAAGCTCTCCATTGATTCTCAAGGTGCCCCTTGTAAAATTACTACCCACACCATTATGCACTGCTGAAAAAAGAGCGGTTACACTTTAATTCCACTTCATGTTCTTTTTCTGGTCCTTAAAGCCATCCAAGCATGTCAGTGTCTTTTTCTTTTTTCCCAGATTTGTAACAGGACTGCTTCTATAAAAACTGAGTTAGGGCAGCCTTTAAACTTTATGGATAACAAGACATGCAAATATCAGAAAGCTTTTGTTGTTACCACTGTTGCTATTTTGAACTGGGTGTATGGGAGGCTTAGCATGTCCAGAGTTTTATAGGAGCAGTTCTTCCTGACCCCAAATTTGCACTATAAATAAAAGTTATCAATATGCATACTAACTTTCAGCATGTAAAATTGAAGTAGTTGTACCTTGAAATATATTTAAAATTTTACTGAAATATATTCAAATGTTTTAGTATAAAATGGAGCTAAATTGTAGCTCTTTGAGCCGTTGTCAACAGTACAAGAGTCCCCATTATACCTTCTCTTAGTTTGCTTAAGGTTTGTACTACATTTTGGTGAGAAATCGGTTTTCCTTGTTCTGGAATGTTTGCTTTATATCTTGCCTCTTGTTTAACACAGAATTTTCTTGGGAAATTTAGAATTTGAAACTGGAAAAATCAGTTCCTGCTTCTGTTTCTTGCTATGAGACTAGTGAAGCAGGGGTCAGAACAGGGGTCAACTCCCATCTCTTCTCATAAATGAGAAGTGATATTAGCATACCATCTAACTACAGTGGAGCTCAATAAGTTTATCAAGGGGATTATATGATGTAGCAGAGGATTGCACTTTGAAGACCAAGACGTCCTTCCTCTCCTATCTCCCTATATACCTATCAAGTACCCCTAAATTTTCATTGAAAAACTAGCATCTGCACATGTTCAGATCTCTCTTTTAAAGAAGGTCGTCTTAAAATTAATTTAAGGAGTGCATAAACCAGATGTTAGATTAGAATTTTTATTCATTAAAAACCTACTTTCAGATAATCATGGAGAATCACAGTGGTTTCTGTATACACAGGTTGTCAGAGAATACTGACACGCACATGCTGCTTGATAGCCAAAGAATGATAGAACAAGCTGCCTAGTGAAACAGTAGAAACTCCTTCATTATAGATTGTTAGTGTCCTCATTTTGTATAAATATCATCCGTGCGCCAGATTTTCAAAAGTAGACAGCCACCTAAAAATGCTAATATTTGTCTAGAGGAACTTTAAAAAGTGCTAGCCTCTATTGATTTCCAGGAGAATGAACTCCCAAACCTGCCCCTATGCTTGTGAAAATCCCTCCATACACCTATCTGTATCATGAAAACTACTGAAAATCTGACTCTATGGCTTAAATATGCATCTCTAAACAGTCTTATTTCTTTTGCAAACCATCACATTTCATATTGTTAGCCTTTTGATAGTTTTGAGACTAGCAATCCATGATGCAAAACTGCACAACAAATTTTGTCTGTCTTGTTTTTCAATATGATACAGCTCAGCCTGCATCACAGAGCAGGCTGAGACATCATGCTACATCCACAGAGCTGTGAGATTAAGCCCTGCTTTAGACTCATGTCAAAGGCTTCCACCAGCTGACACAGCTGTAAAAATGGGTCTCTCATCATTTTGCCTTTTGAGTCAAAGGTGGCAGATATCACACTAGCTATATTGTGTGTCATTAGCTACAGATGCTAAGGTGCTGGGTAGCCCAGCCTTTGCAACCCAGCCACCCAGCAGCTGCCACTTCTGGCCAGTGCTCCCTGGCTCTCACATGAATGAAACATCCTGTTGCTGAAGTGCTACTGTAGCCCTGTTGCTGAAATGCCACAAAAGCCTGGTTTCATGGGCCAGATAGAACAGCTCCATGGGCCAGATCCAACCTGCCCCCTGTGCTGTATGTATCATTTTAGTATTTGATTTATATGCTATTGTGGGGCTGTCCTGAACTTTTCAGAGGGCAGGTTCATTTGGCTGCATAACAGACATTTCTGTTACAGAGTCCTCTAGGTACCAGTGATGCTCTGCTCAAATGTGCAGGTCTGCCTATGCTAATGAAATTATAAAATGGGGCCTGTTTGTAAGGAATGAGCCACAGGGGGCAAAGATTAACTCACCAGAGTTGCAAGCAGCCACCCCTGCCCCAAGGCTGCAAAGAGCCATGCAGGGATCCTTCTTCTCCGGTTGTTTCTGGTTGGGAGGTGGAGGAAACATGAGCTCCAATATAAAAAGGGACCCGGAGCAGGCAAGTGAGGGAGGCCCAGAACCGGAAGTTTCTGACTCAGTCAGAGAAGCAGCAGGGATGACTGAAGGCACAGGAGAGCGATCAGGAAGGATTTTCAGAGAGACGGCTCTGTTAAGGGACCTGACAAAGAAGAAATCCTGAACAAGCAGATCTCAGGTAAACTGAAACTGTCACAAGGCAGCCCAGAGAGACAGGCAGGGAAGGAGGTACTGTAAAACCCTAATAGAAGGTCTGAGAACAGGCACTGTAAAGACTGGACTGTAAGGGCAAGAAGAAGTCAAAGTTTTTTTTTTCCCCCTCTTTTCTTTGAAGTGGGAGAGAATTCCTCCCAGATATAGCAGGATAGTGAGATGCAACTCTCTAGACAATAGACCAGAAAAACTGGTAAAATACAGGTCAGTTTCTTGTTTTGCTCCAAGCCTGGTAGAAGATAACCAGGATCAAAGTGGCAATTGATTTGTCAGAACCAGAGATGTAAGTAGTGTGTAGCCATCTCTGAGGCTGACTATACAAACCGTGAATTAATACCCAATGGAATGGGTGAGGGTGTAGGGGTTGGTGGAGCCCTCTCTACACTAAACCGGACATCAAGACCAACAACATCAGAAGCCACACATCCAGGTATTTCTTTTCTCCCTTAACAACAAATCATGGCAGGCGAGAGCGTGGGAGTACAGAATGTTCCGTGAAGACATTGTGGTGGCCAAAGTGATAAGACTGTCTTAGTAGAGAAAGCAGAGAGAGAGAGAGAGGAAATATTCCAGATAAGGTAATAACCACTAGAGATTGACTGAATACAGAAAATTGAGGCAAGCATCTAGCCCAAAGACAGGTGGGTGGATTTTGGTAAGAGCTGCCCCCCTTGGTCACTGTGTTCTAGGTTTTTTCCATATCTAATTTCTAATGTCCCTCATCCATTTCATTACATAAAGATTTGTCATCACAGAATTATTCAAAACCCTACCTCTTACTCAGTTACAAGATAAACTGTAAATGAGTGTCGCAGTGCACGTGGGTGCCCTGCGTCTAAAAGCAGAAATGGCAGGAGAGACCCCTGGTGGTGAGAAGGGGGAGGCTCAGCTGCCAATCACCAGGGCAGCACAGGTGCTGGTTGCCAGGGAAACCAAGGGGGTCAGCTGACAGGAGGGGGCAGGGCTTGGCCCCTTCTTAAGCCCAAGCATAAGGCCAGGAGGGCAGTACCCCTCCTGTGGCCGAGGGAGGAGGAACTCCGCCAGAGCAAAGGGGAGAACTCTGACGATTGGAACATCCCCTGGTTCCTGCTGGGGGGTTGATGCGCGCTCTCTCTCTCTCTCTGGTAGGGAGGGATTCGTACTTTTGACCAGAACAGTCTAGCTTTTATGTTGTAGCCCAGGGGCTTTGCGTTTTGTGTTTCCTGTTTACACCAGAGGACCGGGTGAGGCTACTAGGAGTGGAGGAGACCTCATAGGAGCTCCATGGTAGCGTGGAGTTTCCTGGCACCGGAGAGGGCACAGCATTGTTTGGGCCGCATTGGCCCCAGCCCCGGAGCGAGAGGGGGCAGTGAGAAGCCCAGAGATAGAAGGCGGAGAGAAGCCCCAGAGTGAGCGGGGGAAGAGAGGAGCCCCGGAGCAAAAGGGGCAGAGAGGGGCACCAGAAGTAAAGAAGAGGGCCAAGGCATAGGGCAAACCATGTCAAGTACCATCTGCGAAGCTTGGGCTGCGGTGTAGGGGAGGAAAAAGGAGCCACAGGTAGCGCCCCCTGACTCCGGGCAGATAAAGTGGGCAGCCTCCCACTAATTACATCACTCAATCAATTAAGATCAAGGCATGGCAGGCGATTAGCCCAAGACAGGAAGGCGGAGGCACCGACAGAAATGCTCCAGCGTGCCAGTCCTGTTACAATGAGAAATAAAAGTTAAGTATGAATTGTCAAAATGTCATTTTGTTTGACAATTTGTCTATAAATTAAACTTCAAGTTTTACAAAGTACTAAAATAATTTGATAATATTAACACAGGAAAGTTAGTATTTTGCTGTCTTCTGACCAGATTAATATATAGGGACCTGTATTATTAGGTGGTAGCTATATCTTGTAGTAATAGCTATAGTTAATGTTGCCAAAATTGTCTACATGTTAAACTTTTTTACACTATCATAACTTTATAATAGATATACACCTTAGGGATTGACATTTTATATATGTGAAAGATATTTTATTTTCAGATTCCCAGGTATTTGGCTCTTTTGATCATGGATCCGAAGGTGCTGCAGCCTCACAATCTTTGATTCAAATGCAGAAGAAAACCCAGGCTATCTTTTTCCTAGAATTGGTACATTCCTCGTAGTTAAAAAAAAAAAAAAAAAAAAAAAAGAGTTAACATCTCTCTTAAATGTACACATACATAGCCAGTTAAAAACATTCAATAAAATACTAGCACGGGACCTGTAAACCACATACCTGTGCCTTCAGTCCTAAACATTCACTCATTCAAACATAGGAAATTAAACAATTGCCATGGCCCCAATCCTTCATTGACTTGTGCAACAGTGTGCTCTTGTTGCAAAAAAGGCCAACAGCATACTGGGTTGTATCATCAGGAATGTTATTTGCAGATCA